CCCCCCTTTGCTCTTTCTCCCGTAAGAAAATGAAACAACTTTTAGTTGAGGTGTGACCTTAAAAGCACACCGTGCCCCCCTCCAGCGCGCCTGCAGCAAGGTAAGGCGCGTCAAAGTGCCCGGGCAGCGCCGCGGCTGGAGGGGAGAAGGGGCCGGGGCTGGGATGGAGGGATCCAGGAATGCAAACCCGGCGTTTCCCGAAGGGTTCCCAACGCCACCTGCTGTTCCTTTCTCCTCGAGCCTGACGGGGGACTGTCCCTTGCATTTCCAGCACCCAAGGTCTGCGATGCCTGCAAAAACAAAAATGAAGACGATAATGACATCGTGGAAAACCTCTGCAAAAATGACTTTGGTAAGTGGAAGCAGAGCCCCCCTCGGTTGCAACCTGAGAGTTGAGGATCAGGTAAAACTCCCAGTGGAGTCAGCTAGAGATGTGCCTGAATAAAGGCAGGGCTTTGTCTTATCTGCAGATGGACCTGTCTGACCGTTGGGTCGTGAAACACAAAATTCCACCTCGGAATAAAAAGTAGCCCTTTTTACAGTTCTTTTCTCTTTGCTGTTTCAAAGTAGGGCTCTATTATGTGGATGTTGCTGGCATGCTGAATAGAAAGTAAAATGGAAAAAAAAAAAACTTTCATCCAGACTATTGCCTGGGGAGAAGTAGAGCAAAGCTTCATTTAGACGTATGAGAAAGAGCCGCATGACCAATCTCACGTATCGTAAGAAAGACTCTCTGTGCAGATTAAGAATGAAGCTCTATATATCATTTCACAGAGAAGGTAATGCACAGACAATTGGGGATATAAACTTAATGGAAAGATCTGGGGTTAGAAGAGGACAAGAAAGCCCCTTCGACACAGACAACTGAACGGCACATTATCCAGACATTAGCATTTCAAGAGAAAAAGGGAATAAGGAGGGGAATCCTTTTATATTAGGTCAATGTTTATACCTGGAAGCAGATTTGTAGTATAAATATCTACAACAATTCAAAAGTCTGTCCTTGAAAAAAAAACAAAACAAAACAAAACAAAACCAACCACCACCCAAAACCTGAAACCATGACTGTGGGATATAATTGCTAAAACAACCAATAGCTTTGGCCTGGCAAATTGCACTCAGATAAATCCTCCCAAAGCTAAACATGCCCCACAGATTCTTACAGAGCCCTGTATCCCCCTCCTACTTATTTTACCAAATCGAATGCAGCTGTTGGACCAACTTGCCCTCCATGGGATCTATTCTTTCAAAAAAACAATGCATGTGAAATATCATTTCCTTACAGGTTTGCCTAAAATCCTCTCCAGCCTAATAAATTAAGTTTAGAAGTTTTCAGCCTCAGCAGAGATCAGGTTTCAGATTAGGTCTAGGTAGTCGCCTCCCCACCTCCCCTTCAAACTGTAGTTTCAGGAAGACTCTCCCAGCAAAAAATGGAGCTCAGCTTCACATAGCAAACTTGCACTCTCTCTGTTTGCAAACAGGGGAAAAGCTGGAGAAAATATTAATTTAGAAAGGAAGGAAAAAGAGAGGGAGGGGGAAGAGGAGAAAAGAAACCCAAAACTCCTCAACCCTAAGGTTGATTCAAACTGCAATGACTTGTATGCCCTTTGTGGCTTTAGAAATGGAGCCACCTGCTGCCTCTTCTGTCAGCCCTGACAGTTTAATTAGCAATAGAGCACCTCCCTCCCCAGGTCCTCTTTATGTGCACTAATGGGAAAAAACCTCTCAATCTCTCTCCCTCTCCCTGCTTCCCCCTCCCCTCGCTCTATTAGCCTTGAAGATAAAAGTGAAGGAGATTGCCTACATCAATGGGGATACCAAGATCACCCCCGAAACAAAGAGCAAAACCATCTACAAGCTGAATGGGCTGACAGAAAGGGATCTGAGGAAGATCGTGCTCTGGCTCAAAGGTGGCCTCCAGTGTACCTGTGACGAGATGAACGACATCAATGTCCCCTATTTGGTGATGGGGCAAAAGCAAGCTGGGGAACTGGTGATCACCTCGCTGAAGCGGTGGCAGAAAGGGCAGAGGGCTTTCAAGCGGTTCTCCCGCAGCATCCGCAAACTGCAGTGTTAGTGGCTTCGGCTCTGGCCGCCTCCAGCAGCCGCCTCTGTCCTGAGCTCTCTGGGCCTCCTGCACCTTCTTGCTTCGGCCCCTCTGAGCCTTGAGATGCCACGGGCATGAGACATGGTCCCTGCTCTCTGAGAGGGGATGGAGCCCTCCGTTCTTGTACATAGGTTAAAATGTAATAAAAAAAAAAAAAAACCATGACTATTTTTGGGAAGTATTAAAAGTATCTCGCTTAAAGCTTTTTTTTTTTAATGGTTGCAACCGTGACTGGTCTGAGGTTTTTCCCTCTTCATTTTTGGTAATGCTGGTTCAATTATATTGCTGCTTCTCTGTATACGTGCATGTTTGTTGTGCAAAAGTAAGAGATGCAGAAAAAGACGGCCACGTGTGGGACTGGCCTGTCACAGTGGGTACGACTCTTTCACCGAGGTGAAATGGCTTGCCATCTATATTAACACTATAAAGGTCATGCTATGACTCTTGCATGCAATACATAGGCAACAGTAAGAGTGTATTAACCATTCTCATATTTTATTTTCCACAAGTCTGAGCCTTTCTCTCTCAGAAAAAATGAACAAGTTTTGGAGCTGGTTGATCTGAATGCAACTTTTTTTTTAATTATTTTGCAAATTAAACCACCGGTAGCCTAACTGTAATATACCTAGTGGTTAACCTGAAAGAGTTGTAAAATATTGCTTTAATTAACCTTGTAAATACTCCAGATGAATGTTATATTCTTGTATATAAACTTTACGTCATAGTTTTCCCATTGTCTTGGTCTGTATTCACTTTAATCTGTTTTGGGAGAACTGGGAGAAAGCTGTCCAACTGGGCTTTGGCATGGCAAAGCAAAATTTGGCCTTCCACCCCAAGTGGCCAGAGAAGCACAAGGAAGCATTTAATGCTGCAATCAGAAAAAACATAGTGGACCTCATTTCCCCAAGATGAACCCAAGAGGCATAGGACTGAGGTTCCATCAACTCATTTTAATATGTCTCTGTTGAGCTCTTTGAAATGAAGAGTTTTCTGTGGCTCCTTTGTTCAACCGCCTGCATTATCATCTCATCTTCTCAGAAGACTCTGCTCTTTGCTTATGTGGAATTGCAATGAGACCACTTGCTTAAAAATCAAATCCATTTATCCATTTCTTACACTTGAAAAAGACATTAAGGAGTGCAAGAGTAGACAGAAAAATCTCATTTGCAAATAGCAATTCAGAATAATGGTAGAGCAAGACATGTTTTGTGTGTATGTACACTCACTATTCTTACTGAGAAAGAAAATAAAACCTACTTACTAGTGTAACTAGAGGAATGTTTTTCAGCATTTTTCTTACAAATGTTTTCTGATGAAGAGCATTACCTGCTAGAATTTTATTGTACCTATCCTGAAAAATAGTCTTGCTTCCCAGTGCTGTCACACATAAAAAATTCCTCTTAGCTTCACGGACAGAATAAGCAGTCTGATATGCCCAAGGACAGTGTTTTATATTAACCAGTCACAGAGAGAATACAAATCCAACACTAGTTTTTTCTTTAAAGAAAAAAAAAAAAAAAAAAAGGAAATTAATTTCATCTATTTTGAGTTATTTTTTTCACCATCAGGATAAAAAGATAAAATCTAAAGATCCAACATGTTACATTTGTTTTAGAAAAATGAATTGTTTGTCCTTTCCCACCGTTTTAATGCACTCATTGCACCTGCTATGGACTCTGACCAAGCAAGACAAGAGCAGTCCTCACAAATGTCCTCAAAGATGTAACAATTTTCTAAAAAAACCCCAACAAACCACCAAACAAAAAGCTCCCTTCCAAAATGGCTGTTAATTATTTTGTGAAACAGTATCTTTATTTAAAGGCCAATAGGTTGCTGAAATGTCATTAGAACTTTTCTTCTGAATGGACCTGGCTTCTCAGGAAACAGATCTGAGTCTTTTTGTGCTATGGTGTAAATTCCTTCAATACCAGCACTATGTCCATCATCTTACAGAGCCATCAGCATTCAGATGTCACATCACTCTACCCATCTCACTCAGCATATAATGTAATACCTGTCCCTGAACAGCCTTGGTTTTAAAGGGAACAAGCTCACAGATAAAAGAGGAGCTGGCTGAAGACAAGCCTGCAGAAAATGGGCTTGTGCTGCCTGGTAGAGGAAAGCACTTCAAAGAGGCAGTCATTGCAATGCAGTCTCTGGGGACCAAAGGACTACTCCACTCAGCCCGCCTTATAGATACTAAGTCCTCCTACAGCAACCATAAAATTATCTTAATTGGGCTGTCCTAGAAGGCAGCAGTACTGACGCTGATGAGGACAGACAGGCCACAAGTTACTCACTCTGGGGTCACATTAAGGCCAAGACTACATTACAGATTTTTGCCAAGTCACTTAAATGTACGAAGACACATTACCTATGACCAACAACACTCTGTCAAAAAAACCCCAAACTTTACCTTTCCTCCATCACAAAATAAACACCGTTACACTAGCAAAATCCTCTTCCTGTCAGGAGAAATTCAGGAGAAGAAGAATAAACTAGACTGGCAAACATTCAATTTTGCTAGTATAATTAGCGTCCTGGATTAAGAGCTTCCTGCCATACATACCCCTACTGATAAAGCCTTCTGCATGTGGCCCTGGGCTGAATCACTGGGACTGTCCACCCTCAGGGTGAATTGGTAGAGGCAGGATTACCTTCCAGATAAACAGGATTTAGGCAAATGTGAAGAGTAATGGGACTTGTGTTTTCCCAGTTTAGTTCCACTACCTTGTTCTAACAGTATCATATTAAAAGATGGGTCATATCCACCTCACCAAGGAGAGGGAACGTCAGTGTTCGTTACACTATCTGTTTCCAAAGGTGTATAAGCCAGACATTGCAAACTATTCAACTGAAAATTAGAATTTTAAAGTCACAGCCTGAAAAACTTCATCTGTCGGATGCTGGCAATGAAGTAAACACATAAATTTTTCACATTTTTACCCTTACTCTCACTTCCTCAACAATAACTGAAAATCTTTAACTGTGCCAGTCAATAGTGAATCAAACATGTAACAAAACATTATCAGAGCCTGTTATTTCTGATAATTGTGTCACATATACTTCAGAGTCATTTTATTACCTGGTATGGTATGGTATGGTATGGTTCAGTTCTGGCAGATTTTTTTTTGCAATTGATGAAAAAAGGAAACCCACTGCATTTTTCAGACACTTTTTGTCATCTTCTAATCAAAACAACATTGTTAGGCAGCCAATTATGTAGCTCCCATTGTATTTGCTTTCATAAAAACTATAAAAGCAGTTGACTACAATGGATTAGTTTAAGAACAATAATAATGATACTTGACATTTATACAGAAGTTTTCATTTAAGTTTCTCAGACTGCCTTCACAAAAATAGGCATTAATTTCCCTATTTTGCAGATCAGGAAAATGAGGCACAGTGAAGTGAAATAACTCATTCAAAACCACCCAGCAAGTCCTTTACAGTCATGAAAAGCAGCATATTTTTCGTCTCCAAGTTTTATTCTTTAATCACTAGGCCACAGCAATCAGAATGGTGTATAATCAAGGGAGCGCTTAGATTATAATTTGAAAGCATAACAGCAACCAAGGCTCTCTCCAACTTCTTCCTCCCCAAGTGTGTAAAAAAAATGACTGCCCAAATTCAAATGTAAAACCCGTCAGCAATATTGCTCACAGTCTTTTCCTTTCTTCCTTATTTATCGTTCTCTCTATCCTTTAATTACTTCTTAATCCTCTCTTTTCTCCCTCACTTTTCATTCAGTTCAGACACCCACAGAGAAGCCACTCAGCCTCTTTCTCAGCCCTCTCATACAGACACTTTGACCCTCAGTATGGTTTATTAAAGAACTCATGCAGTATAACTACACACAAGCCACAAAAATCCTAATGACCAGCCTAAGACATAAAAAGACCCATGTGGGAAATACGGCAAAAGGCATTTAAATTTAATTAGTGATTTTCTGTGAGGACAGGAGGGTGGTTAGATGCCACAGGGAGCACCACAGACACATGTGGGTCGCCTCAGGCATGGCCACTATTCCTATTCTGCAGCAGGAGAGTATAAAGGTATTTAAAGAATATAGCAAGCATGAAGAACACACAGATAAAAGATGCCTTCACTTGCATGGCGTTGTCTCCCACACATCTCAGCCCTCTTGTTATAGCCCTGTTTTCCCTCACTGGGGCCACAGTGCACCTCTCTCAACCTTCTTCCAGATGTCTCATTACCTCTCTTCAGCCATCGAGGGCATCATCCAAGAGCAGAGCCACCGTGACTCAAGAACGGATCGTCTCATCATCCCCCAGGTGCCCGCTGGGGCACAAGCAACCCCCGTGCAGCTGGCAGGGCAGCTCCTTCTTAGCTGCTTCTGCAGCCTGCTGCCATCCTCGCCAAACCTACCAGCCCCATGAGCCCTCATGATGTGCCTGCATTGGCAATGCCAGAGGAAGGGTGATGGACTGATTGCTACCAGAGCAGTAGGCGGCCTTCCTTAGGTTGGCCAGCCCAGACTTTTGTTGTTGGAGCCAGGAGTTCTTATTTCAGAGACATGTCTGTACGATTTATTTAGATGTTGCTTTCTTATCAGCAGATGTAGATTCAGTACAGCCTGACTGTCTGATGAAACAACCACAGGAATGGATCTTGTTTGCCTCTGTACAAAGAGGAGAGTGCAAGATACTCACATCACAGGAATCCAAGATCCCAAGCTGTCTTACAAACATAAATTAGCCCGTGCTATATCCCTTTGGGGTGAGTTTAATAGGGTAACATTTTCCAAATGCATCAGCCCCCTTCAGGGTGAGCCATGGGCTCCTAAATCACCTAGATGCCCTGGAAAATATTAGCCGCTATCCCCCACTGGAGTTAAAGCCAGTTGGCCGAGGTCAGCCAGCAAGCCTGTCACCCAGCCAGGAGGAACACCTCAGCAATCAGCCAGCCAGCCCATCGTTCTCACAACTGATCAAAATAACCAACCAACGCAGAAAGCTGCACCACGAGGCAGCTGAGGAAGCAAGCTTCAAAACCAATTACTGCACACACAGAGAAGCTGTCCGGCCAGAAACACCAGCACAAGTTAGGAGGTATGCTCAGCATCTTATAGAACAGACCCAAGAAAGAGCAGAGATATTTTCTAAGACCCATGATAAGGCAATACCATTAATGCGGTTCTTTCAAAACCCAAATGCTGCAGATCATCCTTTGGGAGTAATTTTCAGTCCACAAAGGTGATGCTAAAAGCACAGGGAATTTTCTGTTTGGACACAACAGGTTAAGAGGCACAGCCAAAACTAGCTGCAACTCAAAGATTTAGGAGTGATCTGAAAGGGTAGCAGAAACGCTAATTTAAGCACACTTTCAACTTTCCAGATCTTTGCTTTCAGAGCTTAACCCTGGCAGTCTTCATTAGACATTAAACTTTTCATATGGAGCCACTATAGAAGGACAATTTAAGAGTTTTCCATTGATACCTGCTTTTATCAGGCAAGAGATAACTAATCTTTCCCTGGCAATTTCCCTGCATTGTTAGTTTGCTTCAAATCCCTAACATTGTCTAATTGCCTTTTTTGTTATGTGAATCTCCAGTCATGCACAATAGCGAGTATTGGCTGGTTACACACTGAGACAGGTGCTTTAGTGGCTGCAGGACTCACATCATTAGGCACACACAGAGCTATTTCAGTTTACTCTGAGGCACAAACCTGAATTAAGTCAGGCCACTTTCCTAAGCAAAACAATA